GATTTCGGTATCACCATCAGCGCCCTCTGAGCAGCGTCACAAAGGACAGAGGGGAGGGCAGTCCTGCAGAGCCTCTGGGACAATCCCATAGGGATGGTGCCCAGGGAAAGCAGAGTGGGAAGGAATAAACCCCAACTTTTCCAGCCTTTTCATTATCCCTATTTGTTTGGATTTTTCCTCAGTTGGAGATGAGGAACTGAGGCACAGGAAGGGGTAAGAAAAACTCCAAGCCTTAAACCCCTCTTGGAGCAGCCTCCTACAAGGCTGTGGGATGGGGAATGGATGCTTTTCCTGGGATTGCAGCCGGTGTGGCTGTCCCTGCTGGCCCAGYTCCCKRTGTGCTGRGTGAGCCTGCCCTGRSTGGGGTGGCTGGTGCCYCTGAGTGCCTGGCACAGCCCCCAGGGCARCCAGAGGGGCAGAGCTGGGACATCAGCCTGCACCCCACCAGGGCTCATCCCTCGGGAAAGGCTCAGGACTGCAGTGAGCCCTGGCCATTCCCAGATGCCCAGAGCTCCCAGGGATGGTCTGGGCTGCCCAGGGCACTCAGGGTGGGCAGGGATGGTGCTCGTGGGCACACCAAGGACTCCTCCATTTGCACCATCCAAGAAATGCCACCAAAATACTTCCCTAAACACATTTTAATCCTGGAATGGGGAGAAAGGAATGCCAGTGCCCTGCCTTTTCTAATTGAAGGGGAAGGTCTCCACAACTGTTCACTGAAACTGTGAATCAGGCCATTATCCAGCAGGGGATTGAGCAGATCTGTGACCCAGCTGCCAGGCAAGAGGCAGCAAATCCCACTGGGAGTTTGAGTTATCTGGGCTAGAATAATTAAACACTGGAAATCAAATGACAATGAGATGGGGCCGACTGCTGGGCACCATTGCCCTCAGGGTGGGCCTGGCTCTGCTCYCAACTGTGCAGTGAGGGTGTTGTGTCTGAGAGCAGCCCCTGAGCTCCTCACACCTCCCTGATGGACATTGGCCATATGTCCACCACAGGAGGGGTCAGGAGCAGCATCCTAAACCTGGATCACAGAGCCATGGAATGGTYTGGGTTGGGAGGGACCTTTAAAGCCCACCCAGTGCCACCCCTGCCATGGCAGGGACACCTCCCACTGTCCCAGGCTGCTCCCAGCCCCAATGTCCAGCCTGGCCTTGGGCACTGCCAGGGATCCAGGGGCAGCCACAGCTGCTCTGGGCACCCTGTGCCAGGGCCTCCCCACCCTCACTGGGAACAATTCCTGCCCAATATCCCATCCATCCCTGYCCTCTGGCAGTGGGAAGCCATTCCCTGTGTCCTGTCCTTCCAGTCCTTGTCCCCAGTCCTTCTCCAGCTCTCCTGGAGCCCCTTTRGGWCCTGSMAGGGGCTCTGAGCACTCCCTGGAGCCTTCTCCTCTCCAGGTGAGCACCCCCAGCTCTCTCAGCCTTTCCCACATAGGTGCTCCAATCTTTAATTCCTTTTTTTGTTGTTTTGTTGCTCTCCAGATCGAGCCAGGGGGCCCAACCCAACCTGGGACAGGACAAGCAACAAGAGAAAGGAGCAGAGGAAAACAGCTTAGAACTGCGAGGAGGGCTTATCGATTGAAGCCACACCCAGAGCCCCTGGGAAGATCCAGTAAATCACACCCAGGGGGCTGCACCTGGCCATGTTCCCTCCTTCAGGTGTCCCTGGGGGAATCCCACAATCCCTGAGTCTGGAAAAGCCCTCCAGCTGTGCCAGTCCCAGCTGTGCCCGATGCCCCCTGTGTCCCCAGCCCAGAGCACTCAGTGCCACCTCCAGGTGCTCCTTGGGTGTGGGGACTCCAACCCTCCCTGGGCAGCCCCTGCCAAGGCCTGGCCACCCTTTCCATGGAAAAATTTCTGCTGATGTCCCCCCTGCCCTGGCCCAGCCTGAGGCCGTTCCCTCTCCTCCTGTCCCTGTTCCCTGGAGCAGAGCCCGACCCCCCCGGCGGCCCCTCCTGTCAGGGAGTTGTGCAGAGCCACAAGGTCCCCCTGATCCCCCTTTTCCTCAGGCTGAGCCCCTTTCCCAGCTCCCCCAGCAGCCCCAGGGCCGGGGCTGATCCCCCCAGCACCCCCATCCATCCCCTGGGCTCTCATTTCTGCTCTCAGGGATGGCAGGATGTTAATTTGGCATCTCAGCACCTGGGAAATAAAAGYCTTGACGACCTTCATTGACTCGATTGGAAAATAATTCCGGGTTGTTTGGCTTCCCTCGTGCTCTGAGCAGCCCATCAATTAGCAGCCATCAGCGAAACGCTCACCAGTTGCCTTTCAGCGCGGTTTAATGTGATTAAAGGGTGCCGCTTCCTCAGCCCTGCTGTGTCCCCCACCCGCTCGGTATCGATGGCTTTGTCCTCAACTCCCGCTGCTTAAATGGGCAAAGCATATTTTATCCCGTAATTAAATGAAATGCTCCGCTGGGTGAACATTATCTTAAGTTTTATGGCGTTACGGTGCTTTCTATCACCCTAATGGATGGCCCGGCTGTGTCACCGCGGTGAGGGATGGCCGCGGGATTGGKGCCATCCATCACTCCTGCAAGGTGCTTCCAGCAGGGATTGCCTCCCAGATGAAGCCATCAGGCAGGAAAAAAAACCCATCAGCAGCCTCAACCTAATTACAGGATAAAAAGGTGATGATGGAATCGAATGATGAGCTGACCTGGAAGTGAATGAAAGCACGAGAACGGAAAGCTGATGGAAAAGGAGAGAAAAATCCCCAAAATTTGACTCATCCTGAGGGATAAGGGAGCAAAGCAAAGCCAAGATCTCGGCTGCATTCAGAGCCAGCACGGCCTCAACACCCTGAACTGCCTCCAGGCTGAGCTCAAATCCACGGGGAGTCACTGAGAGAGCAGAAATGGGGACAGGACACAAACTGTCCTGCCCTGAATGGCACAAATCCCTCCTGGCAGATCCAACATTCCCCCCTCTGGTCGATCCACAGGCAGAGGGACTCTCTGGGGATAGATTTAGGAACAAAAATTCCCAGAAAACCCCAGCAGCCCTGGTGTGGCAGGAAACAGGAGCCAGGAGCCCACTGTCCCTGCTGTCCTGATGAGGTGACAGTGCCATCAGGGAGCCCACACCCTCCCCTCTCCCCTTCCTGCCACGGATGGCAGTGACAGAATTCCTTCATTGTGAAATGAAGAATTTTCTGGGAATTTCTTCATTGTGAAATGAGGAATTTTCTGGGAATTTCTTCATTGTGAAATAAGGAATTTCTGGGATGCCAAAAAATCTGGGATGGTTCACAGGATCGAGGAGAGAAGGGGGGATTTTGGAACACGTTGAGTGCAGGCACCATGAGTGAGCTTTGGGATGGGAGAAGCTCCAAAGGAACTCCTCGTAATAAAAAAAAATAAAATATTAATAAATAAAAATTATCTGTATRTACACAAAGCACAGTTTCCAGTACTCCTAATTCCATTCCCACTCATAAATTACAAYTGCAGCCCATTAATTCAGCAGTTGTAGGGAAAACCCGATTTCCTCCGTGGTGCCATTCAGAGCTGCTGCTCTCACTGAGCAAAACCTCTCAGCTGCTCAAAACCTGCATTTTCCAGGGATTTTACTATCTGGGTGCCAAAAACTGGCTCTGATCTGAGGAGGGAAGGAAAAATAGAGAGAAGGAAGAGCAGGAGGGATGAAGTAGYAACATTTGGGTTCAGAACTTCAGGCAGGGAAAGGAAACATCGTGAAGTTTAATCCCAATAACATCTGAGGGGAAAAGAAATAACATCAGAGGAGGAAATAAATAACATCTGAAGGGAAAACAAATAACATCTGAGGGGGAGATAAATCACCTGCTGCCAGGCCTGGGCCCTGCAGGCCAGGGTCAGCAGCAGCGCCAGCCTAATGCGGTTTCTCACACGATAATGCACTTAGAGGTTTGAGCTCCCAGCCACGGAGTGCACAGGGCAGTTTGTGCCATTTGAGAGAAAAATGGGGTTGGTTTGAGCAGGAGCAGCCTGTGACTCCATCAGCCCCAGGGACTGAGCAGTGCCAAGGCAAGGAGAACCCCGAGTGGGATTGTCTGCACCCCACAGCTGCTCCCAGCTCTGGGGCTCCTCAAACTGCTCAGACTCAGATGAACCCCRGGGTTACTCAGCCAGGGTGACTGCTGAGTGAGAACAGCATTTTTATGCTTTTCCAGCCCTTGAACTGCACATTTTTGTAGTTGAAAATGAACCTMCTTGAGCCTGCTGGGCCCCAGATGCTCCAAACCTTTTGGTTTGGAAGGAGTGCAGGAAAACAGATCCCAGCCAAGCAGAAAAGGCTTCTCAGCWCAGCACTGATTGTTTCCTTCACCCCACTGGGGTGGGTTTGTTCTRCTGGGTGGGAGAGAAAGAATCCCARGRTGGGCAGGGATTGGAAGGCACCTTAAAGATGATTTTATTCCAACCTTCCACCATCYSAGRGTGCTCCAGGYCCTGTCCAGCCTGCCCTTGGAAAGGAAACGCTCAGGTTGTGTCCATGATTATTGTTATTTACCTTTGTCTGCAAGGTTTTCTTCCAAATTACAAATTTCAATTTATTTTTTTGTTTCAAATGGGAAAAATTTCAACTTTGCAACTTTTTGAAATAATGAAGATTTCCATTTTTTTTTTAGGTTTTTCCTTGCAGCTCTTGGCAGGATTATGGGAATGCAGAAAACACTCGAGGAGCAGCCGGGCAAACCCCTTGTGCTATCCCAGGTGATTTTAACCCTGCAGAGGGAAGGGCACAGCCAGTTTCACCCCCCAGCCTGTCCCCTGGCAGTGCCACCCTCACCTGTGGCCCCCAGCCRTGGCATGGGTACAGTATTGCTGTGTGGTTCTCCTGCGGGCCCTGGTCCAGGCACACGTCTTTGGCCTTGTTGTTCCGGAGCTGCAGGGCACAAAAAGGGCACAGAAAKGGCAGAATTATGGCACAGAAAGGGCACAGTTGGGGCACAGAAAGGGCAGAATTATAACACAGAAAGGGCACAGTTGGGGCACAGAAAGGACACAGAAAGGGCAGAATTATGGCATAAAAAGGGCACAGTTGGGGCATAGAAAGGGCACAGAATGGGCAGACTTATGGCATAAAAAGGGCACAAAAAGAGCACAGTTAGGGCACAGAAAGAGCAGAATTATGGCACAGAAAGGGTACAGTTGGGGCACAGAAAGGACAGAATTATAACACAGAAAGGGCACAGTTGGGGCACAGAAAGGGCACAGAAAGGGCAGAATTATGGCACAGAAAGGGCACGGAAAGAGCACAGAAAGGGCAGAGTTGGGGTATAGAAAGGGCACAGTTGGGGCACAGAAAGTAGACAGAAAGGGCACAGTTGGGGCATAGGAAGTAGACAGAAAGGGCACAGAAAGGGCAGAATTATGCACAGAAAGGGCACAGTTGGGGCATAGAAAGGGCACAGAAAAGGCCGAATTATGGCACAGAAAGGGCACAGTTAGGGCATAGAAAGGGTACAGAAAGGGCAGAATTGGGGCACAGAAATGGCATAGTTAGCAAAAAGAAAGGGCAGAGCTAAAGCACAGGAAGGGCACAGTTAGGGCATAAAAAGGGCAGAGTTACGGCTCCAAAAGGGAGCAGAGTTATGGCACAAAAGGGCACAGTTTGGGCATAAAAAGGGCAGAGTTATGGCAGAAAAAGAGCAGCGTTATGGCACAGAAAGGGCAGAACTGGGGTACAGAAAGGGTGGAATTAGGGCACAAGAGGAGCAGAATTATGGCACAGAAATGGCCCAAAAGGGGCAGAGTTAGGGCACAGTTAAGGCACTGGATCCTGGACATTGGGGCTGGGAGCAGCCTGGGACAGTGGGAGGTTTCCCTGCCATGGCAGGGGTGGAATGGGATGAGCTTTAAGGTCTTTCCAACCAAAATCATCCTGAATTTAATTATCCTAGGAAAATAGAATTTTTGGGAGGTTTTAGCCTGTAGGCTTTCAGTAACTCTGAGAACAAATCCCTCCTAGGACAAAGAGCCCCTCAGGGGTGCCCAGGATCCAGGAGCTCTCCTCTCCCAGTGCCACCATCCCATCAGTGCCCCTGCAGCCCCAGCTTTTGTTATCAGTTCCCATCAATGGCCCTTCCTGTTCCCAGAATGGCTTCAGAGCCAGCAGAGATTGAATTAAATCCCTTCATTTGATCTTGTCCTTAAGCTGCTGTGACAAACACTGAATCCTCCAGGGCCCTGTCAGGAATTAGGCTGGGTCTAAGTCAGGGCATTAGGAGATGCCTGTGCATTAAAAATACAAATACAGCTGCTAAATCCAATGGGAAATATAGATAATTTCTGTCAATTCACTAAATGATAAATTAAAATATTTTATTTTATACCACCTCCAAGATCAGCAATAAATCCCCAAACTGGTTTTCAAAAGAAACCGGGCATAGATTTACAGAAATTTAGATAATTACACACAAAGAGTCGGTTTGGATTCAAATTCCTCTCCCCTGAGGCTGTTCCTCATCAGGGACTGTGAATATTTCCAGGCTGAGCTGAGGGACTGCTCATCCTAAATTACCTCTCCATAAGCAACAGTGTTGTTGTATCTCCTCATCTCCGGATAAACRTGGTCCAGGTACCACTGGAAATTTTTACACTTCAGGCTCTTCCTCAAAGCTTTTCTCTCGGAAACATCCCCAATGTCAATCCCTGGGTTCTGAAAAACAAGAACAGGATGGCGCTGAATGGTCCCACTTCCAAAAAAAGATAAAAAWTTATGTATTTCACTGAACTTTGAGATCCTGGGAACTGCCAGCAGCTGAGGAAGTCCCGCAATTCTGGGATGGGTGTCCAGGGCTGGAATTATCAGAAGGAAGATGAGGGTTCCAGAGCCACAAAAAGAAGGGGACCTAAACTTCTCTCCTGGGGTTTGAAAGCACCTTTGCTATGGCCACAGGCTGATGCTGAACTGACTTTGGTCTGGCATTTATATTTTGCATTTACATTTTGGTCCAGCGTATAATTATTTGGGGGATAATTTGGACAAGAGGAGCCAAATGGAGGAGAAAAGGTTTGGAGGAAATTTGGAAGTGCAGTGAAACAGTGGGGAACCTTCTCTCTGATCCCCCTGGACTCAGATCCAGCTGGGATTTTCAAACATGGTATTTTTAAGAGATTTCTATTCCTATTTAGGTTCTGAAGTGCAGGAATTCCAGGAGAGCCCAACAGTATGTGGATATCAGGATTTAAAAGATGGAAGTGGAAACATTTAAAACATGGAAATGCAAACCCTGGCTAGGCACTAAGCACCAAACCCTTCCCTGACCCCACTGAGACACAGCCCCCAGGATGGGAGGGGTAGAAGGGGTAAAATAAATGGGGAAGGAATGAAGAACAGAGAGAAAGGTTTAAGATTCAAATACAGCAGAGACAGGCAGCTGAGAGTAAAGGACAAAAACTGCATGGGAAGAGAAGTTGAGGCTGAAGCTCCAAAAAAACTCTGGGCAATTTGGGCAGCTCCAGAATGGAATGGAGCTGGAGAAACAGCAGAGTGCCACTGCTCCTGCAGAGGGAAAAGCAGGACTGTCCCTGAGGAATGACCCCACAGGAGCTGGGAGCAGGGGCTGCAGCGCTGCCCCCGTTATTCCACCGTGGATTTGGGGAGATAAGGCAGCAGGGAAGGCACAGGCAGCCCCGAGCAGCCCCGTGCCCTGCAGTGCCCCATTCCTGCTCCCTTTCAGCTCCTGTTCCTGCCTTCCCCAGYGATCATTCATCACAACTGGGAGAGCCATTTTCCATTACAGCTCTTGTGATGATCCTCTCATGAATTATTGACTCTGCTGGAGAASAGACACCGCTGGAATGTGCCACTGKGGRGTGAGAGGTAAAAATAAAGGTGATTCCGTGGGTGACAGGCAGGACAGGCCGAGATCTGAGTGGGTGAGAGGGGYCCCAAGGCAGCACCTGCAATAGTCAGGGCAGGGCTTTGCCTTGGCATCACAAAATAATCCAGTGATAGCCATAAAATACCCCCACCCAATTGGGCTTCCCTCAAATTAAATCTGGATTCGATTGGAAAATTGCCCAGACTATTGGAAAGACCTACATAAAAATAAATGGACTTTCGGGATACCAGACCTATTGGAAAGCCCTACATAAAAATCTCAAATATATAGAATAAATATGATATATAATATGTATAACATATAATACATAATATACAACATACAATATATAATAATTATAAATAAATAATAATTAGTTAAGATATTATCTATAATATAGGTTATATAATATATAGCATATATTTAATAAATAATCTATAATATGTAATAATATATAATATATGATTTATAATATATAATATATAGTAGATAATATATAATGAAATATAATCTATAATCTATAATCATCTATAATATGTAATATATATAATATGTAATATGTAATAGGTAATATGAAATAGGTAAAAATGATTAGTAATTAATTACTAAACACATTCTATTGCTACCATGCTTGTTTGGGACAATCAGTGCTGGGGGATGGAAATTAAAGAACTCCATCATTTTAACATTAAATTAGGGTAACACTAATTACGCTACACCACCTGACCACTGCACGTAAGTGTTTATTCCCTCTCTAAAGGCAAACAGGGAGATGTGTTGAGTTTTAAAGGTTTGCAGCAGGAAGGGAGCGYGGGCCGGGCCGTACCTCCAGGGGCAGGTTCCAGGCGATGTAGACGTGCCACTTGTAGTCGTCCATCCASACCTCGGCCACGCGCAGCGCGTTGCGTTTGGTGTAGAAGCCGATGTTGTTGTTGTAGGGTTTCTTCTTGCGCTCGATGTGCGCCACCCTGGAGCAGGGCAGCACCTCCATGCTGCCCCCGCACAGCCACACCTGCAGCACACACAGACCAAGGGGACAGGGAATCATTTCTGACTCTTTCTTTTATATATTTTTTGTATGTTTTTCTGTATTTGTGACCTTCCCAGGGCTTTTCCCTCCCCTTTTTTTCCAGCTGGGAGACTGAGGTTCNTACTGGCACAGAAACTGAGGCTCTGCAACACTGGGACACTGCTGCCACTGCATTCCCAGAGGAGAGGAGCTCCAGAACCACCCCTGGAGCTGCAGAGACGGACTCGACCTGTCCTCAGGATCAGCGCTTGGACGAGAGCACATCCATCACTGCAAYRGGGCTGCAGCCACCACCCTGCCCAACAGGGTGTCAGGCTGTGTTCTGACTCTGGCAGTTCAAACTGTTGTTTCTGTATTATTGCTTTTATTTTAATTTTTCCTATGAAATTGTAGTTATGATTTAGAATCTCTCCCAACATATTTGTGTGGGGGTAACTCCCCCCCGATTTGCTTTCAAACTTCCACAGACACCAAACCCATTCCAGAGCTCCAAGCCCTGTGGGGGATGCAAAGCCTTCATCCTACCCTGGTTCTTCCTGGGAACCAAGGCTGGGAACAAGATCTGTGAGACCCTTGGAGACTCTTGGAAACCCTTGGAGACCCTTCCGTTTTCATAACCAAGTACAGCTGGGATGGAGGGTGAGTGGCTTCAGAGAAGGGGCTTGATCTGGGGGGGAATTACATCACCACTTGTCCTGCAAATTGGTGCTTTTGATCAATTATGCTAATTTGCTRAAACCTATCAAACTGTACTCATCCATGTGGGGGTGAGGTTTTGTGGATACTCTTCCACGACTGCCCTGGAGCTCCAATAAAGACTYGCTYTTACATCCCCTCCTACACTAAAACCATCCCAAGTTCCATTTCTAGGCTGGAAAAGGCAGCAGGTGTGTGCAGAGAGGAGCAGGGAGGGGTTTGGGGATATTCCACAATGTCTTGGTAAGCACAGTGTCACATCTCAAACTGGCAGTGCCACCGAAACTGKGGGAAAACAAAACTCCTCTAACACTGTATTTGGAGTGATATCAGAATCAGGCATTGCTTTATTTCCTGGTCAGGATGTGCCAAGGAAATTATTCCAACCACACATGCTTTTACTGTTTTTTCCCCCAAACTTTATACAGTCAGAACCCATAGGGATGTATTGTTTCAAAGTCCATCAGTCCAGAGTTGAGAAACCCCCAGGATTCACTTTCCTATTGGATCTGAATTCCTTTGCCTCTGACGTTAATTAGATCTTCATTCCTTGATTTTTTTTAATCAGTTGTTTTCTGGAGTCGATGTTTTCAACTCTGCCAGAGTCATCTTGGGTAGATGTTTGCAGATGGCCACTGATGTTCCATTTTTGGCCGTTTAGGGATCTTTTGGACCACTCCCAGTCCGTTGAAATGTGAAGCCCRTCTCTGTAGAGTGATACTTCATCACCAAATAAAAGCCTTTTTTTAAAAAAAGAATTCCTTTCCCCAAAGCAAAATCAGACTAGAGAAATAAARTRAAATTTTAAAAGCTATAYTGCTTCCCACAGCAGTGTGCCRCGTTTCCTCCTCAACACAAAACCCCGGTGACTGGAACKGTTACAACAATTCCAAGATCCCCTCCTGCAGGAGGGATGAGTCAGGGAAACATATGGCAGGGACAGATTTCTACTGCTTGAAAACATTTGTTCRTTATTGCTCCTTCACGTGCCTCTTCCAACTCCCCTAAATCACAGTTTAATTTTTTTATTTTTTTTTAAAGAGGAGCAGAGTATGTTTCAATCCCATCTTGGGGAGTTGCTCTCCCAGCTGAACTCGCAGGTTTTGCTGGAGCCCTGATCTGCCTGTTCAGCTCCCTCTGAGGCTGAGAGCACAGCCCTGCGGGGCACAGAGAACCAGAGAGGTCTGGAACTGCCATGGAACAAACCTGGCTCCATCCTGATGAGTTCAGAGCTGCAGTTCCTCACTGCTCTGATGGGATCTGCTCGGCCCTGGCAGCGTGACAGGGGCCTGGTGATGCTGTAAGAGTGCAATTTGYATTGCATTATTCCAGACCCATCAAAGACAAGCGCCTTAAACAGCACCCACAGCACTTGAGAGCCTTGCAGGAGAGGAAAAATCCCCCGGGCTTTGTGCCCTCCCGGCTCAGGAATCACCTGCAGGATCTGACCCTCAACTGCTCCGAGTCTGCTCTTTATTTTTATTATTTTATTGCCAATAATGCACCAAAAGCATCTCATTTTCTCATCACTGTTTCTGTCAGGGCTGTACAAATAAAGCGTATCAGGAGCTCCCCAGGATTGTGATCTATTTTCCATGCACAAAAATCCTGTGCAGGAAATGATCCATGGACAGATTCTCAGCCAAACAGGAATCCCGAATGTGAGGAGCGGCAGGAGGAGGGGGGAAGGTGCCAGGGAGCCCTGGAACCACGAGAGATGGCTCTGGGGCAGAATGAATGATGCAGAGGGAGGCACTGAGGGATTGAGCAGCTCTTGAGCCAGCAGCACCCAGCTCCAGTCTCTGTAACTGTTGGAAAATATATCAGTTAAAAAATATATATATAACTTTAATCAAAGATCTTGTTTGCCTTTGCCCTGGGGGAAGACACTGAAGTTTCTTTGCAGGGCATTGTTCCACCAGGTGAGGCCTGAGGAGCTTCAGAGCTCAGCAGAGCGGGAGAGGGACAGGAGAGAAGGGACATCAGTGACCATCAGTGACCATCAGTGACCATGAACAGAACATCAGCTCCAAACCTCCCCCCTGGCGTGGTCGGACAATCCTGGTCTGGGAAAAGAGAGATGAGGAGCAGGATCTGATCAGGATCAGAGCAGAAGAAATCCAGATCCAACAGGAACCCAAATCCTGAGAACTGCACAGTACTGGACCAATGAACATTGAACCAATAAAGGATAAATTTGGGGAAAATCTTGTAAAATCCATGTGTCATGGAATGATTTTCTAGGCACACTGGGTTGTGTGTGGGTGAAATTATTTCTGTGGCACATCCTGGCCAGAACAACATCCTGGCCAGAAAATAAAGCAATGCCTTGACTTTCTAACATTAAAATGTTGTTGGAGAGTTGTTGTTTTTCCCACAATGTCGGTGACAAAGGCACTGGGAAAAGGGACTGGGAACAGGCATTGGGCAGGAGGCTGAAGGACACCCCCATCCCACAAACAAGGCCAGACTGTACCCTGTTATTCTGGTCTGGGAGGCTGGGAAAGGTGGTCACTCCCAATGTCCCTGTCACCAATTTAACTTATCCTGCCCCATTTTCCACCGTGTCTATGGAAATCCATTCCAACAGAAATGGCCTGGAACTCCCCAGCAAATGATGAAATGAGAAATGCAGCATCACATCCCTCCAAACAGGAGCTTGGTGRTCACTCAGCCCCTTCCAAATGCTGCCTCAGCTGAAGGAGAATTTCATCCTCGTCTGAGCCCCTGCAGGCTCTGCTGCCGCCTCTCCCGAGCCCTCCCAAGCACTCACACTGTGAGCTGCCTTTCATCAAATTGAGATTAAAAAGACTCRCTCCACGGATGAAATCAGAAAATGGAAAATGTCTCATTTCAGCTTTTTCCTCCCAATCCAMGCCTTTCAAGGGCACCCCAGCACCTCTCTGTTCCTTCCACTGGGTTCCTTTCAAACACACCACAGAGATCAGCAGYTCTCAGGCATCGATTTACAGCCACATGTGCTCAGGGCAGGGCTAGGGCTGTGTCCCAGGGGGTTTAGGGTGAATTTTGGGAAAGGTTTTTTCCCCAGGGAATGGTCCCGGCCCCGAGGCTGGCCAGAGCTCCAGGAGCGTTTGGACAGCGCTGCCAGGGATGCACAGGGGGGATTGTTGGGGGGTCTGGGCAGGGACAGGGGCTGGATCCATGATCCCTGTGGGTCCCTTCCCACTCAGGATATTCCAGGATCCTATAATTTAATTTGTGAGACTCCACTGCCTCTGAAAACAAAGGAAACGACAGCCCTGCTATGGTCTCACATTTTTCCCTGATAGGGATTTGCTGGGAATTCAGCCTGCCAATGTCTGAAAAACAGGGATGAGTCAAAAGCATCTGAAAACTTTATCTTTAGAAATCTGGAATGTGGTGATTCCAGTGCAATTCTGCCAAAAAGGAAATGGAGCATTTCAGCAGAATGGATGGAGCCTTGTTCAGAGCTCATCAGAATTGAGGCTGTCTGCATTTCTGGGTCTGCACTCACTTCAAAACCYACAATAATTGAAAATAAAAATGCAATGGAGCAAAATCTCAGATTTACTGCAACCAAACATCATCATCATCAACTCCACAGTCCTGAACTTCAGTTTTGGAAAACTTTCAGGGCTTTTTTTCTGAAACACATTTGCAAAACCAAATAGAAATTATGCCTTTTGGAAAGCGGAATGTAGAAAGTGAGCAAGGCAGAAGGAAATGAACAATGAGCAGAGCTGTGTCCTCAGGTCACAYCAAAATTGTGACTCATTCCTGGTTYACTTGTTTAGAGTTCAGCACTAATTGTTATTAATCCCTAATTCATCAGCGTCCCCTGGGCTTGGCACAAGCAAAAAAATTACAAACACAGATATTTCCTGTGAATACACAAAGCCAGAAGAGATGGAAACAAAGCAGGAAATCAGAAGATCCCACTCTGATTGCTCCCAGATTTATCCCCAAATTTTCCTGCTGGAGAAAGTGCCCACTGCTGCAGCCTCGGGGATGATTTCGGAGCATCCCTGTGCTCCTGCAAAGTCACACAGAA